CACACAGCACACACATCACATCCATCGAGTCACGCACACATACAGCAACACGCTTTCTCGACTCCACAGGGGGGGTGCTTCGTGGAGGCATCACTTGTAACTTTGCAATTATGTAATCATTGCCGTTCTGGTTCAAAGAACTTGGATTGCAGGAGTTCGCGGCAAAAGCGAGCCTTGTCCGCATCCGCTCAACCAGTCTCACCGTGCCGTGCACGGTGCTTCTCAGCCTGTGTCACTGTGCGCTCCACGGTGATCCTCCGGGTGAGCTACCATGGCTGCTGCTGCAGAACAGCCGACGTCTCCACTGGGTTTTCTCACGAAGAGCAGCGCCAAAACCCAAGACTTCCTTGTCCGAGTATACAAGCCCAGGGAGATCAAGTACTCGTACAAGAGCAGGAACAATGGCCAGCTAGTCCATGCAAACCGATTCACATGCATTCTGCTTGGCACAGACTCAGAGCACTATTGTGAGGCCATCCTCAAAGGAACTCCAGCAGAAGTCCAAGCTGCTCTGAAAAAGTTCCCTCCGATGACGGCGTGGAAACTCTCCAGCGTCGGCCTGGACAGTCGGCAGCAGGACGCTTTTGTGCATACGTCTGTTCGTGTCGTGGTCGACCTCAAGCGCTGCTCCAGTGCTCAAAAGCTCTCCGGAGGAGACCTCCTTGGCATCGGCGCCGGCTCCAGCGACTACAGTGGCAGACATGATGAACATCAAATCGCAGCGTTGCTTCGATGTCATGGCTGTGGTTCATTCTGTTTCAGAAACCCGCACTCCCGCTGGCCACCCTCCAGTGGCAAGTGTACATCTGGTCGACGGCGCACAGACGAGTAACTCCGAGACAGCGGAGGCTGTGATTGCAGTCTGGGGATCCACCAACAGAGCTTTGTCGCTCTCACAAAGGACAACCGCTGCTGTTTCTCAACGTGGCGGGCAAATTCGACGGCAAACTGGAGCTGAACTTGTCGCAAGATCGCGTGGTGGATTCCGCATGCTCTTGTCCCAGAATGACTCAACTACACGACTTAGCAGCCACTCAAGACTTCGCGATGGACCGGGAGCAGCTGACCACCGCTCATGCGGGTACTTGGGATCCAGACCAGGCTTCGCAGATTCTCACCGGAGAAGCACTCCTCTCCTGCTGTGCCTTTTTGGCTATGGCGTCGGATGATCCGAATGCAAACTTGCCACTCTTGTTGCAGGTCAATGGGATGAGGCTTGAGGAACCGGAGCCAGCCGACTCTGTGGTGGAGAACACAGGCGAGCGCGTGTTCTTTACGACTACTGCTCGTGATTTCAGTGGCTCGTGCAAAGTCGGCGTATCACAAGCGGCAGCCTTCGCCTTGACTGGCATTGATAGCATGCAAGAATTCAAAAAAGTTCACGACGAGAAAGCTATCTCCTTCCCTCCACTGAGCAATTGTCGCATCATACGACGCGTGCGCAATGTGGCTGCGAATGCACAGGATGACACACCTCAACGGACTTTCGTCAACACGACTGTGGTGGCCGTTTCACCGCTTCAGATATCGCACGCCCCGAATACGTCTTACAATGTCGTCTTGGAGATCCTGAAGCAGTGCCGCGAGAGCCAGGATGCAATGCTCGCGGCACAGCTCTCTGAGATACGGTCTTGTCCCTTCTACGGCATGCGCGTGCAGTACTCACCAGCGGGTGGAGGGGGTGACGCTTCTCAGCTTACCCGGAACTGCCACTTGGCAGTCGTTCTCGTTCGTACCACGCAAAAGTCTCGGTGCGTATCCACTGCGGCTGGCTTCGTCGTGTCCACATCAGGTGTCACGGACGCTTCTGACGGTGAGTCTTCCCACTCAGTGACGATTCACGGACACTGCTCAGTTGACAACTTGCTCTCGTTCAAAATGGATCCGCCCAACCGAGCGAAGCACAGAGTCTGCTTGTTGCTCATTACTGGCTGTTCAAAAGACGGCATGACGGTGCACAGCGTGACCCACATTGACGACTCCGTCGTGTCTGAGGCGCAGTACTTCATTAAAAAATTGAGAACACTGGGGATGCGCACAGAGCTTCAGCAATCAGGCGAGCATAAGCGGATGAATGAGTGGAGCACGACGCCGGAATCCGCCAAGAAGTGCCGCATTCTTGAAAGCCACCCCTCAGGAGAAAGCTTGAGGTGAGCTTTCTCCCGTCTTGTCAGCGATGCTTCTCAGCTTGCTGGACATGGCAAGCATCTTTGTCTTGCGCCTTGCGGGATGCCAACTAGGTTTGCCTCAAACATATCGTTTGGTAGTTTCGTTGTTTATGCGGTGCTTCTCAGCCTGCACTATTTACTGTTGTGGCGTCTGGTGCACGAATAGTGTCTGCGGCCTGCATTCCTCCTCAGCCTGCCCTGGCTCCCTTGAGAGTGCCTGCACAGAGTTTCGGTCTGTGCTCACGCTGCCCGACGGATTCATTCACCTTCGCCCGCGGTGCTTCTCAGCCTGCACTTCCTTTGCTACAAGCGCCTGTTCTGCAGTCGTTCAC